AGAAGAAACCCACTCCATGCAAAGCCTATGTGGCTTCAAATTCTAGAGAGTAAAATAGTGAGTGAGAGTCGTTGGTCGAAGAGTAGGAAGTTGTCCCCTCCATGAAATCAAGAGGGCGAACAACAAACAAGGAGTAGGAAGTTGTGTGACGTATGCTTAGTGCGCTTGTAACGAGGTCACACCTTGGTAGATCTAGTCTGGGTGGACTCAGAACTTAAGCAAAGGAACAAGGCGAGCACTAGCATGGCGACAAAACGAAAGGATAGAGAATGCGAGGAGCTAATGGGCAAACTTATTTAAATAACAGAGATTGGAGATGCGGACTAAGGTAGGATTAGGTGCACGCAAGAAGATGAAGTCTGCATATTGGATCCCTTCATTAGTCTTTTTAAACTTGTGAAAAAATTGAAGGGGTCTATTTGAAAATTTAAACAATTATTGCACATATAATCTGATGATTTTTTTTCCTTTGTTTTTGCATCTGCAAATGTGGAGTGTGCACAGTACAACACTTGATATACTTAATTTTTTAAAAAAATCACCAAGAATTTACATATAATTGTATATAGTTTTATAAGAACTATTTGTGTATAAAGTTATTTTGCAATAACATAGAATAATAGGTTCATCTATTATTTTGATGCTAACAATAACTTTTTGTGTATTTATTTTTTCATTAGTCCAATTTACATTAACTTTTTAATTTATATCCATTGTGGATGATGTCATGGATGTTATTATTGATTCTTTGTTATGGATGTTATGCTTTACGTTAAGTATACACCTATAGTTATCCACTGTTTGATTTGATGATGAGAAACCTAGAACCAATTTATCAAAATCATTTCAGTAAAAATTTCTGTTGTCATGTAAAATACTGTTTGATAAAATCATTATAGTGCTTGAATTGTGTAGTGTCATTTTTGTTGTGTTATACATCTTGAAATGAACTATGTTATCCTATAGTTATTGTGTAAAATTTCTTATAATGTGCTATCATAGGTGTTATGATTGCACCTTTAATTTTAACAATCTACAGTATAATCTAATATTGAACCACAGGCTAATAATGATTGAACACTATATATGCAATGATCGAAACATAACCGGTGAATCTTCCAGCATCAGTTGAACAATCTTTGGTTTATGAATGATAAAAGATCAGACAATCTTCGACTTATGGTTAAAATTAGATTAAATCATCAAACCACAATCCAACCATCTCCAAATCACAATGAAATAATGATTGAATCTCCTTTGAACTATGTGTACAATCTTTGAATCATGATCAAACTATTTTCTAATCTCAATCCATCAATTTTCGGACAAATTATCATTGAGCCATGATCCAATCATTTTCAAATCATGATTGACTCATCTTCGAAACTATTTAAATACCTCAACTCTAATAAAATAATATGTAAATACAAGATGTTATTCCTTATTGGGTGTAATTTGGTCTAAATCAAACTTGTAGGAATTTTTCCCCATTAAAACTAACAACAACTACATTTCTCCAATTTTTTAACACTATGATACATACATGGTCAAACTTTCCCTAAATTTATTATATTGAATATGTTGGGGGTAATAAGCTCTATAATTAAATTTGAAGAGAAATATTTCATTATTCCTATACTTTGCAACTAAAAATAATCAAATATTTTTTCCAGACATTATTCAAGGTGCAAATCCAGATGATCGAGATGTCTTTGAGTTACCTCCTGCTCATTCTGCAGGACTAATTCCTATTTAAGAGAGAAAAAAAAGGCCTCAATTGGAAGTGTCATAGAGAAGATCCACTTATAGAAGATAATGGACATTTTGAATGATTATTATATTTATTTCCTAGAATTTGAGTTAGATAATAGGCAAATATATAATCCAACATCTTTTAACCGACTTTAAAAAAGTGTAAGCGCTTAGAAATGAATAGAGGCCATGAAATTGAGATGATATTAATGGATGAAAAAAACATTTGGGTTCCTATTGAATTGCTTTAAAAGCAAAACTGATTAGTTTTATATATATTTTCGAAATTGAACTGAATTCACAAGGCATTTTAAAAGGATAAGAAGCCTTATCACAAAAGATTTCATTCAAAAGGAAGATATTAATTATGGAAAATGTTTTTTTTCTTAATTTTCGTTGAAAGACTTCTAATTATTGTGAATTTTGTAACTTATTAAGATTTAGAGCTATAGTAGATGAATGTAAAGATTGTGTTTTTCTCTGGTGACGATGAAGAATGTGTGATACAACTAGAAGGCTTTTAACCCAACGATTCAAAATATTTGTTAATAAATTGACCTATGATTTGAAGCGTCCCACAATGTTATTGAATGTTACATCAAGTGATCAGCTTTTTTATTTTAAAGAATATATTATTGTTCAATATATTTATCATAAATTCAATAGGTGTAAATTTCTCATTTTGGTGTTATATCTCTATATTTTGATTGCATGGGGTTTTACATGAAACTAAGAGGGTTTTTTTAAACAATTTCTAAAAAACCTTGGGAATGCAATTTTGGTGTTCAGTATATAAAATTATTATGATCATTTTAATGATGTACTTGGCTTATAATAAAATGTGTAAATTGAGAAAGTTTTTAGTAGATTTTATGATAGATATATGGTTGTTATTAAGACAAATAAATTTTCTTTTTTCAATTCCTATGGGAAAACCTTGAGAAGAAAGAAATGAAAAATACCCTTTCTTAGTTAATAATAGGGAGTCTTTTATATGCTCATGTTTGTTCACATTTGGATAAGGCATACATAGTTTGAATTCTTCGCAAATATCTAATTCAAGGATGGATATATTGGAGATTTCATTAGTTAGATTATATGGCCTTTTAACTCTTTGTTGGTTCTCTATAGTAAAAGATGCTTCAAGCTATGTACTTATATTGACTCGAGGAGCTATCAATCAAGAATATTTAGTCATCAGTCAGCTTCTTCCACTGCGGAAGTAAAATTTAAAGATTAAAAGGGATTGAATAAGTGAATATGACAATAGAGTTATTTTTTTTTCTTTGGGTTGCATATTAGTATTGAGAGGCCATTAAACATAATTTTATTAATAAAATCATTGAATAACAATCCAAGAACAACTTAAACTATTTGAAAATGAAGTATGTTAATATAAATTTTTTTAATGAAAGAAGAGTTTAAAGACTTCATATTTCTATTAGAAATATCATTAAAAACTTAATGATTCTGGATTGACTCACTAAAATTTTTTTATCTAAATTGTTTCATGAGTATGTGGCTCATATGGGTGTGATTTATCTTAATGATGTGCTTATATTCTAAAATTTTTTTGTCGATTTTAAATGGTATAAATATGTTTCTCTGATGATATTAAGTCTTGTTATTTTTTTATTTATTAATATTTTTCTTATAAAATATTATTCTTTCTTACAATTATAATTGTGTATAAAGCCTTTCAACGCATGCTGGCAGCTTTTTTTGGGTTATAAAACAGGATTAGTCAAATTCATCTATATATATAAAACGCCATGCAATTGTCATATTTTCGAAATTGAAATTTTCATGTCATTTATCATATTTGATCTATATCATTAGTTATATTGATACGGTGACCATTGCCTAGCCTATTTACAGAATGTTATAATGATGATAGTTTTGATCCTATTTTTGCTAATATTGGCGGATTAGATAATTTAGAGATGCTTTCTATTAATATTGTACATATTGAACCTGCCAAACTTTGTAATATTGAATCTTTGCAATTTTGATCCTATTATTACTGATTTTAATGTGGCCTACATATTAACATTAATTGTATGTTAACTTCTGCTAAGTTTAGCCAATTAAAAGTAATCAATCTAAGTTAATTAAATAGTGGGTTTTAAAAATTTTTCTCAAGTTTTATGAGCTTCGCAGTAGTAGCAACCATATATTTTACTTGAGTATTTATGATTGGAAAATAAATAAAATAATCATTATTGATATAAATGGGATTTAAATTTCTAGTCTAAGTATTCACATTATCTTTCTCACATCCATCACTATGAGGTTTTCTTCTTGCAATATAGAGTTTTCAAGTGTGCATATATAACCAAAATCCTCTCGATCGGGATACAAGAAAATCATATGGTATGACCAACCAATTTAGCACATCAGCCTTACTAAGCAGACTACTCACACAATTCAACCATATAATTCAGCTAGATGGCTCAGTTAGGTAGCTCGACTAGTCAATTCAGTCCATCAACTTAGCTAGCTAGAAGGATAGATCAATTCGGCCAATTAGTCATATATTGTAAACCCTATGGCAAATTCTCCTGATAAGATATGTCGACTTCGTCAACTCAGCCAAAGGGAAGAGTAGTCTGACAAAGGGAAGAATAGACTTCATCAACATGGGCCACACATTTAGCTTTTTTGTACTATATTACATATTTTGTAGGATGCGTTTTTTGTTTGTTTTTTTTTTGTGTAGTGTTATATGTAACATAACTCGGTCCGACCTAACATATAAATAGAGTTGTTTTTCATGGGGTACTAGAGATAAAAATGGTGAGAGAAAGAAGAGGAATTTTAGAGGAATTCCCATAGAAAACACTTTGTAATCACTTATTCGATATTAATAAAATTCGCAGAGATTTTTTTCCTAATCACTCTCTCCTCTTGTTTTTCCCTCACTGTTCTTTCCTAGGTGGTGTGCTTCCACAAAAAAATTTAGGATCCAACTGTGCAAGGCGTGAACCTCTGGTTTCTCTCTCAAAGGATTCATGAATGGTTTTCCAAAGAAATTTCTTGATTTATTTACGTATAATCATGGCATGGTAATGCATATCTTATCACCATTCCAAATTTTTTTCCCTAAAACACACATCATCATCATAATCAATCTGTTGAACTACTCATCTGCTTGAATCAACTTTTTGTTTGAGAATCCAAAAAGACTGTAAATGCATTTGACTGTTCACTACTATGTAATATTATTAATAGCGTTGAAACTTTTGCAGACTGTGCCGCTATTTCAGTTCTACAAAGATGGGGTTCTTTTGGAAGCATTTGCTACCAGAGACAAAGAGAGGATCGTAGGCGTGATTCGAAAATATATCTCTGCTGATTGAGCCCTGGAGGTCTGTACAACCTATATGCCCAGCTTTTAGCTGCAAATCTGCATGTTGGAAGGGATAAGATTTTTATCACATACCAAGCCTGCAACAAAACTAATTATCACTGTGCATAGTATTTGGGATTTTGGACGCTACCACCTCCATTTTATTTTCGCTCTTTGTATTTTACTACAGATTTTCTCGTCTCCGGTGAATGGTTGCATTTGTTTGTCATAAATCATGTATAGTTTCAGTCTATAACTTCGTAATGCTACGGGCCTGCCCCTGTTAAATGCTGCTTTATCTCAATCTGAATTATTTTTTCTTGCAAAGAACAGGTGTACGACAGTAGCAGAAGTAATTTTTTTTTTTTTTTTTTGGAATATTTACCTACATACAACTCAATTCTTTTCTATTTTCAGATCTAATAACTAAATTTTAATTTTCCGATATATATCAATCTTATATGTGAATGAAATGACTTATTTCATTTTTTAAGATGTTAAAATAGAGTACATGATATGAAATTTTTGGATGGCATAAATGCAAAAAAGTAAAGTTTAGGTATTGGATGTGTAAATGCTTAAGGATTGGGTGGTATGTATGTAAATGCACCCCATTTATTTGGCAGTTTTAACTGTCAAAATGGTTTGTATTTTGATGAAGAAACACAAGAAACAGTACTCTATAAGGTATAGAATTCATTTAGAAAGTCCAATATTTATATGAAGATAAATTTATCTTGCATTAATGCCATTAAAATTAAATTTAATGTCATTTTATATGGGTCTGTAGCACGGCAGCAATAAACTTTATTTTGTGCAGCATAACTGGCCCACAGTAATGGTAGTTAATCAATTATAAATTTCTGAAAATACATATAATTAAATGTTAAAAGTTGAAGATGATAAATAAGTAAAATAAAAAAAAATTATGCTGGTTCATCCAATCAATGTTTATATTTCGTTGTTTATGCGGTAGTTTTCTGTATTTGTTATGAAGAGTTATAGCTATAGTTTTTGGGATATATATGATGCTTCTTTCTTTATTAAAGAGAATCAAGAGCAATTAAGCGATATGTAAATTTTTTAAAATTTTTTTAATAAAATAATCATACATATTAGTTAACTAACAATTACATTTGCAAACTATGTTTTCTTCATAAGGCAAAATTATATTTTATAATTTAACAATAAAGAGGCATAGAAATTGCATCAAACATTCTAGCAATCTAACTTCAAATACAACAACAACAACAATAGCAACAATCTTAATCCCACTATGTGGGGTCGGCTACATGAATCCTTTTTCTCCATTGCGTCCTATTTAGTGTCATATTTTTATTTAATTCTAGTAAATTAAGATCACTTTTAATACAATAAGCTCAAGTCTTCCTAGGTCTACCTCTTCCTTTCTTAACACAAGTCGAATCTAAAACATCTACTCTCCTAATCGGATCATCAGCTGGTCGACGTTTAACGTGACCAAACCATCTAAGATGACTTTTTCTATTTTTGTCCGTCACAGGAGCAATCTAACTTCAAATAAATAAAAAGTAATTCTACAAAGGAAAATCAATGTTCTTAGCATATATATTTATTGTTAATAATATTTAATATTTTATACCTTGTTTTACTCTCTTCTATTAATTTTATTTGGATATCTATTTGCTCAATTCCATGGTTAAATCGAATATATAGCTTCACATATTATCTAACAGTAATTCAATTAATGATTGGCAGTTGACATGAGGGAGCTACATATTTCTGTAATAAATAAGAAGTGGAGTTTTTAGCAATAAATTAAAATGAAAGTTTTTTAAATAAATTTACATGGATGAGTTTGATGTTGAATAAAAGATGAATTATTTATTGCTAAAGATAAAATAGTTGTTGTGCATGATGTTTTGAATTGTGACGAAATAAGTGGAAGATGAGGTTGATGATGTTTATTATGATGATTGAATGTTTGAATAAGAGTATAATAGTCATAATGATAAGAGCACTCGTATTTTTTATTGTGGTACCAATGTGTCAAAAATGGCAAAAAGATCCTTTTCGCGAGCTAAAAGCTCTGCAGCGGGGTTAATATAGCTTCCGGCTTTTCACTTTGCCGTGTCGCAACGCTGCGAGTCAAACGTCTGTTCTTCGCGATTCGGACCCTTAGATGCATATAACAACAAAGTAAGGCTTCAAAAATTGAAATAACAAACAAACTCTGACTCAAATATGACTTAAAATTTTTGATAAGTCACATTTGGGTCAAAATTCCCAGCAAGATTAAATTTTTTAGTCGCCCAAAATTAACAACCTGCAATTAGAAACTAACTTAAATTTGACCTGCTAACTAAACATTAACTCGATCAATATAACCCAAACCTCACTAAATTAACCAAAACTCGACACAAATATCTTTCATATATGTATCATACAGCCCATGCAACAGACCAAGTCAATTTTTAGTCGAGCCCAAACTAATCATAACCACGAATTCAACTTGCTCTGCCCCTAAAGCAAATTGCATGAAGTTTGATTCTACCTTATTAAATTATCATATTAAAACAATATATCCTCATTAAAAGTATTTTTTTCATATTACCTTCTTCGTTTTTTAATGCTAGTATACCTGTATTACAATTCGATCAAACAGCATCATAACACATTTATAAAGAAAAAATGATATGATATTTTGTAACCAACAAATATAAATTTGTCCCATATAAGCAGTTGCCGGATTTGAAAGATGCAAATATATATTGATCATGGTGTCGCCGGGAGATTTATATGTAGGCTTTTTAGGGCTGTCTCATTAGGCTAACATGGCTTCCATATCTACCTCTTTCTTCGCTATCATCCCTTGCTAGAAATTCGTGTTTCTTGTCTGTTACGTGTCGATTGAAGAGAGAACATCGAGCGGCCCTGGCGAGTCATGAAGAAGCCGCAAGCCTTCAGCCTGCTGCCTCTTCTTTGTGACGTAGTGATATTAGGGCAGGCTACAAAGAAGGCGACATATGAGAAAAATAAAGTGAAATAAAATGGATATTTTTGTTAATTTTGATATTTTTTTAGTTATATATTGTTAGCAATCTTACAAAGAATGAGAGAATTTTTAAGTATTTTTATAGGCAAGTTGCACATATTGGAACTTATATGCTAATATCTAACGGTTAATATTTGTGTTCATAAGAAAAAATATATATATATAATATCTCCTTGTTTTTAATCATGATATTTATTTATTTTAGCTATATATTTTATTCCATTTTCTCAAATCGACTATAACGATCAGCATCTATAAAATAATTAATATTTGTAATAAATAGAATTAGATCTATTGAGACTGTAATCATACATCCTGCCTATTGCACCTTCAAGAAGATCACAAAAATGCATTTCTTTAAAGTGCAATTTCATCCATAAATAGATACAAAAAGTAAATGAAATTAAGCATGTTTTAGGACAGATCAAATACCATCTAGAGTAATTTCATTCCTGTTATACAATATTTCTTTAAAAGAAAATTGCCCCATAAATTTTTCTAGTGCTCCAATATTGTTCTTATTCTTAAGGATAATTTCAAACATAAATGGGAAAACTTTCGGCCTATCTACCATATTAGTTTTGTTTCAAAGGTTATCAGTAGACTTCTGGTAAGTTACTGCCACTTTTTAATCATTTAGTTTCTCCCCAACAAGTTGCTTTCATCTCTGGTAGGTGTATCAGTGATAATATTCTTATAGCTCAAGAACCTTTACAAGATTTGGACTGCAAGTCTATAAGAGGCAATGGGATTTTATAGCTTGATTTATAAAGGGCTTATGATACAATTTGTTTGAGTTTTATTCTTATCATTATTAAAGCAAAAGGTTTTAAGGATTATTTTTGTAGGAAATGTTCTTAGGCAATATTTTCTATTTTGTGTTTATCAAAGGTGAAGAACATGGGCATTTCAAATTTTGTAGAGGGCTTATGCAGAAGGATGCCCTCTCTCCTACTACGTTTAATTTGGCCATTGATTATTTATCCATTACCTTAAATCAACTTCTCATTACTTATTCTGGTGGTAGATATTAAATTAAATGTATTGAAATTGTTTTGCACTTACCTTATGCTGTTGATATTATTACATTTTGCAACTCAGAAAAAAGTAATGTTAGTCATATTAATAACATCCTTACTCACTTTGACATGTTTCAAGTATGTGCTTTAATAGAGCCAAATGTAATTGGCATTTTCGCAAACACAACACTTTTGAAAAGAAAGAGTGGGTCACCCAACATATAAACATTAATTTTAGGAATTTTTATTTTAAATACTTGGGCATTCCATTTCGTCAAAGTGGATAAAGGAGCCTCTTATTTGGTGAAGTTGGTGATAAGATTAGGAGAAAAAAATTTGAACTGGGAAACCTCTTTCATACTTCAAGTAACTAAAATCATGAAGAGCATGCAACTTAGAACTGATAGAATCCTTGATAAATTCTTATGGGCTAGGCATGATAAAGGTACACATAGGAAAACCTTGGCAGCATCAGTTTAAACCTAATAATTATGGGGTTGGTTCAAGATCCTTGGAACAATACATGGAAATAAATTACTGTATGCTTTAGATCAAACATAGGTCTAATTTATGGCTGTGGGATAAATTCATGCACCTTACATATCATAAATATTTTCACCATCTTTTTGTATGCCTAAATTAGGAGATTCCTTACGTTGAAAAGAGCTTTTAAAAATACGTCTTAAAGTTGAAGATCCTATTATTTGAGACATTAGGGTTAGAAAATATTAGCTTTTGGTTTGATAATTGGCCAGTTTTTGGGTTGATTATGATTCTGTGTGCGTTGTTTCCCTCGATCGAGGATTCTAAGATTTTATTCTTTGTGTGAGTTATATTTTGGGTGTCGAAAGAGCCTCCAGAGATCCTTTAATATATATTATATATATATATATATAGATGACCACTTTGTTTGGGACAATATAACGCTAATACGCCACCAGTATATGAAAAACCCCCAAATAATAACAACAGCAAAAGGCAAATAAAGATACTGCGCCGTCACTTATTAATCCTGGTTAAAAACAAATAATTATAATCTACTAATTGCTAGCTCGTGATTCCTAGGGACCTTAGGACCGACACAGGATTTTATTATTATTATTATTATTGTTATTATTTGGGAAAGGAACGCCGAAGTCATCTCTAGAATCTTAGGCAGTTAGGCGAGATAATTCAACACGTGAGGCCTAAAACCAACAAAAAAATCTTAATTCCATGCAATTAATTAATTTACATGTTGCAGAAGGAAAAAGAGTTTGATAATGACTGGGATCTATTGGC